TTATAACCTCATCGGTGTTTGAGCACACGCTCCTTGTTCTGCCTTTAATTGTGTCAATAGCTTCACTTTGATATTATGCTATAGTTTTATAACATGTTACCATTGGGGAAGCTGGGTAAAATATATATGGGATCTCTCTGTTCTCTCTCTGCAGGTGAATCTATAATTATCTCAAAATAAAATTTTAATTTAAAAAATGGGCAGAAGGATTTGAACACTTTTCCCAGTAGAAGATATATGAATAGCAAATAAACAAGTGAAAAGATGTTCAACATTAATAGACATCATGGATATTCAATAGAAACTACAAATTTTGGTTATACACATCTTTTAGAATGACTGAAAGAAAAGAGAAGCCCTGTGGTATGGCTCAGTTTGTTGGGTATCATTACACAAAGTGAAAGGACATTGGTTCCATTCCCAGTCAGGGTCCTTGCCTGGGTTGCAGGTTTAGTTCCTGGTTGTGGCTTGTAGCAGAGGCAAGCGATCGATATTTCTCTCCTTTTCTTTCTCCCGCTCTTCCCCTCTCTCTAAATAAATAAAAATATTTTTTTTTTAAAAGAAAAGAACTACAATAAAACATTACTAAGTATTATGGAGTAAATGTTTGTGTCCGCCTAAAAGCATCTGTCAAGGCCCTAACCCTCAATGTGATTTCATTTAGAGGTGGGACCTATGGGAGGTAATTTTGTTTAGATGAGGTCATAGGGCCCCCTCTATGGGATCAGTGTCTTTCCTACAAGATGAGATCAGGGAGAGAAACCAGGGCTGTCTCTTGGCGCTGTGAGGATATAGCAAGTAGGCAGCTGTCTGTAACCTGGAAGAGGGCTCTGACCAGGACCCGACCATGCTGGCACCCTGACCTTGGACTTACCAGCCTCAAGAACATGAGAAATAAGTGTCTGTTTTTTAACCCATTCAGTCTGTGGTATTTTTGTTATAGCAGCCTGAGCTAACTGAGAGAGTAAGTGGCAGTTAGGATGTGAAAAACTGGAACCCTCAAGGATCGTTGCTGGGAATGGAAAATGGTAGGGCCACTTAGTAAAACAGTTTGGCAGTTCCTAATCTAGGTAAAGAATCCTACTCCTGGGCACTTACCCAGGATACATAAAAGCTTATGTCCACATAAAGACTTGTAAGCAGATACTTGTAGCAACACAATTTATAACAGTCACAAGCTGGAAAACAACCCAAGTGTTCATTAACTGGTAAACAGATAAATAATTTGGGATATATCCATATATTAGGATACTGTTCAGTAAATTGTGCTAAATAAAAGACTACTTACTTTAGGGTTTCATTTATATGAAATTCTAGAAACAGCAAAACTTAAATGACAAGAAAGCAGATCAGTGTTACCGGTCTTTGTTAACATTATCAACATTACAGACATTAGCCAGATTCTAAACCCCAAGATCATGTCCACCACCCCCAATGTGTAAGCAGCCACTTTGACTTACACAATTCTCCCATGAAAAGTCTCTCATGTTTAGCATTTCTTCGCACTTTAAGTTTCACCACACCTTAATGCAGCTCTTTTTCATCTCCTAAAATACTACAGCTGGTTTTAGCTGATCTTTTTGTCCCTTTTAACTAGCTTCTCCAATCTACCCAGCACCATATTGGGAGAGAATTCTCCATGAATATCTCTTATTCCTATACTGTCTGGGGTCTCTGGGCATAGGCACTTCTACCAAATTAAGAATGTTTCTATGAGGAAATATTCCAGGGTAATAAAGCTTAGAGACCTCTCCCTCTTAAGATATTCCAAGGTAACAAAAGACCTTGCCTCCTCCTCCCCAGAGAAGGTTTGTTTATATTCCTGAGCAAAGGTCTTTCTCTAGAGAAAAGTATGACCATCACCAGCAGCCATATAATATGGGAGCCTACTTTTGGGGTTCCTTTCTGTAATATACCCATTGTATGTGCAGGTACCATCTGGCCCACCCTGTGTTGCCCTGTGTGACTCTGGGAATCAGCCAGGCTAATATGCTAACTTGTAAAAAGGGTGAAATCTCAGACCCTTCACAATTTCTGACTTAACACACCAAACCAAATTATCTTTCACAAGATCTACTTTGGCCATGCTATTTCCTTGGCTGAAACTTGTTGACGGCTTTCTACTACAGAATAAAACTCAGTCTTACCTGTCATTCCAGCTCTTTACCAATCAGTACTTATTCCATTGATAAACCTTGTGCTCTAGTCAATCTAGACTTTAAGATGTTTCCCAAACAGGAATACATATCTATCTCCATGTTCTGGCTATGTCTAGAATGCTATATTTAGGTCGTAGATGAGGAAAAACCAAGGAAGCACCAGTGCATGAAATGCCCATAGCAATCTTAAGGAATGGTGAATTACACCATTGGTATCTTTATGTGTATTGTCATGGTGCCTCCCAGTGCCATTCACCCTAGGCCTAACTAAATGACCTTAAGACCAGTGGTGCAGTCCTAGGTAACCACATTCTAATTGGACATTAGGGAGCTAAACTACTTCTAGGAATGCTTGGCTTAGAACAATGTCCAACAGGGGAGCTCTGTGTTTGATGGCAGCCAATAATCCCAATACCTTCTACCATTTGAGAAGTGAAGTTTACAGGGAAAAGGAGAGATGGCCTAGGTTCTAGTGGGAACAAGTGAGTTATAGTCATTTCTCCACCAGGCTTTACACCCCCGTCTTAGCTCAGGCTATGTATCTGGGTCTTCTTGCAATAAACTCCCAACCAAAGATAATATTGGCTTGCGTCTCTCTTTGCAGGCCTCAACTGCTTAATTCAAGTGTCCTTCTCACTGTATTCTAAAATATGTGTACAAAGATGCTAATTGAAGTACTGTGTGTAAATAGCAAAATAAAAATATGCCTATTAGTATGAGCTGATTAAATTATCATGTTTCTTTAATTGGGAGGTACATCTGAATTTCAGAGACATAAAAATATCAATAAAATTGTCCACAGTGGTTATGTCATTGATTGTTTTAATATGTGGGGGAAAAAATGAGTGTTTTAAAAAAAATGAGTGCTTTAGAATTAAAGAACTAAGGCATGGTGCATCATAAAGTGGGACATTTTGTAAGTGGGACAGGTAAACGGCAGAAGGGCATGGTAGGGGACATTTCCTTTGGAAACAAGATGGGGAAGAATGGGGCAATGACTCCACACATCAGGCTACCTTGAGGTGGCATAAATGGAGATGTGTGTGCTGTTCCCTGTAACCGTCTGTGCTTAAAAAGCAGACTTAATTTAAATGAGGTGGTCGATATAAGGGTATGTTTTAATATTTTAATACCTTTTTAAAAAAATATTTTCACCCAAGTATATTTTTTTATTATTAATTTGAGAGAGAGAGGAAGGGAAGGAGAGAGAGAGACAGAGAAACATCAATCGGTTGCCTCCCATTTGCACCCCAACCAGAATTGAACTGCAAATTTAAGCATGTGCCCTGACTGGGAATTGGACCTGCAACCTTTTGGTGTACGGGACAATGCTCCAACCAATTGAGCAACCTGGCCAGGGTATTTAATACCTTTTTTTGTATGTCTAAAATATACTATAATAAATTCTTCTTTAAGTGGGTCTAGCATCCTATTTTACTGCCCCCTGTTCTTTGGGAGACCTTACATTCAATGACAGCTTAACAATCAATTGTATTAAAAAAGGAGTTGAGGAAAATATTCACTGTCTCTTATCTCCACATGTTGACTATTAGGAAAGAAGAAATTTCATCATTCCAGCAACACCTGGTATGTACACATATCCAACTGACTAACATGCAGACCTAGATGATTATTGAAAACTTTGCTTTCTCTTTATTTCTCAATATTATAGACCAGTCATGGCACACATAAACTAATTACTAATATTCTGTAGCATACCAAAAATATATTTTTTGCTGATCTGACAAAAAAAAAAGGTATGATTTTGATTCATTCACACAGGAAGGCTATTGTGTTGGCTGCTGTCATTTTTTTCATTTGACTATCTAAGGGAAAAGAGTTCAGTGCCCTTAACTAACTAGTCAGGAATTGCATGTTTTAGAATTTTTTTGCAGCACACTGGTTGAAAATCGCTGCTGTAGATTTTGGCTTTATATTAGCCACAGGTTTGCCTAGATTTAAGCAAGGTCAAATTCGCAGAGAACGATATTCTGACATAGTTTAACTATAAGAAAAAGTGTGTGCATGGGGGAAAGGGTATTTTAATAGAATTCCCTTAAATACAACCATTATGGCCATTTGTAAAATAAGCTGAATTTTTAGGGACACATTTCCTAAAGCCTCAGGTGATATAGAGTGCAAGCCAGACTAAACAAATTCAGAATCATGCCAGCTGTGTGGCGTTGTAAATCACCTAACTTTGCGGGGCCTGATTTCACCTCTGTAAAATGGGGACAAAAATAACTAGCTTATGGGGTGTTGATAAGATCCTAAATTTTAACTGCATGTTAGTACTGTGCCTAACATGCAGTTGTCACCCAAGACGTGAAATTACTATTAAGGCATGCGGGGCGTGGGGCAGGTTTGGTGGGGGTAGTTGATTTTGGTACAGGCCGTCGGACTGAGCAGTGCACCTCCTAAACTCTCCCTGCTCTTTCTGGGGCACTGAAAAACTCAATTATTTTCAGTTCAACAATTAGTGCAAGTTACAAAGTCAAGTAAGCCAAGGCCTCGAGTAGTTTACAATCAAACTAACATAACAAGCTACAGAAATCACTATTTCTTCTTCTTTTTTTTTAAATTGTCACTACTAAGGAAGCAGTTGCGCTCCCTTTTTACACACTTGGGAACTTGGAGAGGTGCAGCATCTGGCCAAGGGCCACGAGTACCACGGTCTCCCAATACTTTTTGGATCTCTGCAGACTTCCTATCCAAGGGATGGGGCAGCTAACTAGTCCCCGTCCTGTTCAGGGCACTCTCTGGGACAAGGGAGTGAAGGGTCCCAAAGAGGGCTCCGTTCGCCCCTCGTTTGCGGTGCGGGGCCGAGGAGACAGCACTTACCAGTGCGAAGTGTACCAAGGCGTCGTAGCAGAGCCAGGAGAGCACCCAGCGGTCCGCCGCCCCCTGTCCACGGCCCAGGAGCAGGCCCAGCGCGCAGCCGGCGGCCAGCAGAGCGGCACACAGCAGCAGCGAGCTACCCGCTGCGGCCCCCAGCTCCCACCCGCCGTCCATGATTCCCGCTCCCTAAGGCCCATTCAGCAAAGAAAGAAAGTAGAGCTGACGAGAAAAAGTGGGATGGGGCGGGCCTGCTCAGACCGGGCGGAGCTTCTACATCGGGGCGGGTCCGGCAGATCTTTCCTTCCTTGCTGGCCTCTCGGATAGCCACCCTTGCCAGGAGGTTTTCTCAAGTCAGGATCCCGTTCACTAACTTGGGTAACTGACTGGACTAAACCTGTTCCCAGACCAAACACACAAGACAGGGAAAGGGCCACACTTTTTGATGCAGTTTTATTTTTAACAAGGTTCAAAACCTTAAGCTATAAAGTCCAAATGGTAGAAATCTTGCCAACAGACTGGGGAGAACAAAAGGTTCTAATCAGGCCCTTGCAAGTCTTGCAGGACAGGTGAGGGCCAATGAGCAGGCTTCTAAAAGCCCTTGTGGTGTGCTCTGACCTTTTTTTTTTTTTTTTTTTTTTTAAATTCTCACCCTAGGACATTTTTTCATTGTTTTTAGAGAGAGGAAGGGAGACAGAGAGTGATGTGAGGGAAACACTGATTGCCTACCATTCTTGCCCTGACCAAGGGACCGAACCTGTATCCTAGATATGTGTCCTGACTGGGCCTGAAACCTACAACCTTTTAGTTAACTGGAGGATGTTCCAACCTAGCCGCACCAGCCAGGGTTCTAATCTTATTTCTTAAAAACCAGGAAAGTAGCAGAAAGCATGGGAGAGAGGAGGGATAGGTCAAAACGGTTTGGTGCTAGATGCTTTTATCTCTGTTATCTCATCTAACATCACAACAGCTCTAGGAGATTAGTGTTTTCCTTTTTTACAAATGTGAAAACAGGCCCAGGGCAGAATCCAAGACTGGGTGTCCCCTAAGGCCTTTGCTTTTTGACCCTGTGCTCTGATGTCTTAATGGGCAACTATAGCTCTCCTCTAATGAAGTGCCACTTTATCCCAATCACATTAATCTTTCCATTTTTGTTAGCATCTTCTTTCTTTCTTTTTAATTCGCTCTTGACCATCTCTCCCTCTTCCTTCCTTAGACCTCTATTAGAGACTTAACATTGGATAAAGGAGCTAGAACTTTAAAATATTGCACCCTTCCCAACAAATTTAATGAAAAGCAGGGGAAAAGCTCCCTTAAAAGTAAGGTGTTATGTAGAATATATCAAGTTACTCTGACAAGAGTAGGATATTCGATTTTCTGTTGTCTTGTTGGGGATATTTTATTTAAATATTACATCACTTTATGATGTTCTCTATGAAAAACAGAAAGGCCATTATTTTCTTTTTATCTTAAGAAACAGACATTTTAAGGTGATTTCATAGCCAAATAGACAAATGCCTGTAGTCATATGTGGATAGTCTTATCTACCAAATAAATACATTTTATTCTTACAGGCAGTGATGAACTGCCCCACTTTTTTTCTGCATTATATGATGGTTTTACACAATGTACAATTTAGACTGCAGGTTTAATTTATAAAAGGATTCTAGCATAATGCTGTTGTTACAATATTGATGAGCTTGTTTCATCTCTGTCTTCCCTTGTTCTCGCCTCCCAATTTCTCTCTAGACACTCACCTTTTCCATTGCTAAATGCTCCAAACCTAAGGAAAGTCAGTCTTTGGAAAGTCTTTAGAAAGAGACAAAATTTTTGCATCATACAATCTAGCTATCTCTTTAGCAAACACCTCTCCTTTTTTTCCTATGGGTGTCTACTAAAATGGCATATTCTATTTATAATACATTTTATAGAATACTGTGCCACTAAGTGGCCCTTATTCACCTATCTCCTGGCAGTTAGGCATGGCTAGTGACCTCTTAGACATGACAGCTGTCATTCCAAGTATGGCCTATTTGAAATTCCCATGTCACTATATTTGCCTTTTTTAAATTGTGGAATGATTAATATACAATGTTATATTAGTTTCAAGTGTACAACATACTAATTCAACATTTGTATATATTGTGAAATGATCACCATAATATGTCACCATACATCTTCACACAAACATAGTTCTGCCTGAAGTGAAGATAGGCAGTCACAAAGAATAACAATAAAAAGCCAAATTAAATATTGGAGATAAGACAAAAAAATGTCAAACATCTCATTTGGAAAAAGCACATACTCATAGTATAAGGTGGACTGTTTTGTGCCTATATTTATTTCATAGTCTGCATTAGCCCCAAGAATCAGATTATAAAAATCACTTATACAAGGTCTGTACAGAAAAGGTCTAGCTATTATTAATATAAATATTTGCATGACACCAGTGTAATCTGGCAGTCAAGGAGAGTAGACTGGAATGCACATGCATTAACAATGATGACTTCACTGTACTGGTCAGTGTGGGTGGTAGATGCCATTGAGTGAGCACATGTACTGTGTGGCCATCACATTCAAAATGACTGAGGAGTAAAGCAATAAATCTGCATCAAATTTTGCATGGTTTGAACATTCCTCCATGGAAACTATTGGCATGATTCAGAAGGCTGCAGCTATGGGCAACTTGTGATTGATTGGCAGCTTCATCAACGACAATGTGTTTGCTCATGCATCACATCTCATGCAGAGTTTTTTTGTGAAACATCAAGTCATCCAGCTGACTCAGCCTCCCTACAGCCCAGATTTGGTGCCCTGTGACTTCTGGCTTTTCCCAAAACTAAATCACCCTTGAAAGGGAAGAGATTTCTTATCACTGATGATATTCAGGAAAATATGATGGGGCAGCTGATGACTGGGAGAACTGTGTGAGGTTCCAAGGCACCTGTTTTGAAGGGGACTAAGGAGTCATTGTCCTATGTACAGTGTTTCTTATATCTTGTATCTTCAATAAATGTCTCTACTTTTCATAAAAAATAAAATAAAATATTGCAACCCTTATTGAACATGCCTGTGTTTTTAATTTGGGGTAGCCAGGTAAAATACAGGATGCTCAGATAAATTTGAATTTTAGATAAAAAAATGAATTTTAAAATATATATTTATACTAAAGTATCACCAGGGTGCTTATGCTAACAAGATTATTTGTTGTTTTAAAATGTGGTATGTACATACAATGGAATATTTATTATTCAGCCATAAAAAGGAATGAAATGCTGACACATGTTACAACATGGAAGTATCTTGAGGACATTATGCTAACTGAAATAAGCAAGTAACAAAAAAATCAAATACTGTGTGATTCCACTTATATGAGGTATCTAAAGCAGTCATATTCCTAGAGATAGAGAATACAATGGTGGTTGCCAGTGGTTGGGGGGAAAGGGAATTGTTTAATGGCTACAGAGTTTCAGTTTTGCAAGATGAAAAAGTTTATGACGGTTGTTTCAAAACAATGTAAACATACTTAACATATTGTATCACACATTTAAAATGGTTAAGATAGTAAATTTCATGTTATGTGTATTTTACCACAATTAAAACACAACTTCTTGGACTTAATAAAAGTTCAGTAACTTTCTTCTCTAGTTATTCCCTATATCATTTTTTTATATAGCAGATGAAATTATTTTATGTTTATACATTTATTGCTAGTCTCTTGCCACTAGAATATAAGCTTCACAAAGCCAGGGGTTGTGCCTGGCTTGTTTACTACTGTGTTCCTTATATCTATTACAGAGTTTGACATACACTAGTTGCTCAGTTAAATAAGTGATGACTGAAGGAGTGTGGCCAATCATGTCAACTAAGAAAACTGACAGTCACTCTTCTCTTGTATATTCAGCTTCTTTCTCAACTGGATATCTCCTACCAACTACCCCATATCACCCTTTAATGACTCCCCTGCCCTCCCCTTCAGAGTAAAATAAAAACCTAAGAAACTAATTAGATCCACTGCTTTCATATTCTGCCCCTGCTCTTCAGTCCTTCTTCCTCTAGTTTCTGCTCTCTTTACTGCAGTGATACAGCTCTAAAGTGACCAGTGACCTCTGCATCATTAACCCAAAGGACATTTCCTGTCCTTACCTTACTTGACATCTCAACAGCATCACTGGACACTGAATTTCTTTTCCCTTGGTTTTCTGAGAAATCACAGGGCTTTCTTTCTACCTTTCTAGCTATACCTCCTGTTTCCTTTTGCAACCTCATCTTCTGCTACATGCCCAAGGAATGTTGGAACTCCATGGGCATGCAATTAGTCTTAAACCCTGTTCTCATTGTAAATGCTGAACCCAGGCAGTCTCATCCCTGCTTTCATAGCCACCAGATATAGAGGAATCAAATGTCTAACCTGGCCCTCTCCTCTGAACTCCAGATCAATATTTTTAACTGCCCTACTTGACAGTCATTTGGATATCTCAAGCCAACAAAACGAAACTGCACTCATCACTCTCTATTCCCTGTAAATCTCAAGTGTTCTCTATTTTGTTATTTCTATTTATCATTTACTGCAGTCCAAAAACCTAGAAATCATCCTTGATACTTCCCTTTCTCCAAACTCCAGATCTAAGGTATTTCCAATTGCTGTCTATTTTTGCTGCCAAGTATCTTTTGATCTCATCTACTTCATGGACTAGGCTGTTCATCTCTTGCCTCAAGTGTTTTACTCTCACTAATGTGATCTCTATACATCACTAAACCCAAAGTACATTTCCTGTCCTTACCTTACCAGTCAGTGATTGTTATTAAACACAATTCCTCTACCATCACTCTTGTTTAGTGATAGTATCTACCATTGATCTTAGAATACCAAAATCTTTTATGTGACATACCTAAAGGTTATGGAGTTCTGGCTGCTAATTATTTATTTACCCTTGCTCCTAGTAACCTTTTTCTCTATTATCTTTTCTATAGTTACACATGCTTTCTTTCATTTCTTGAACTCACCATGGTGCTTCCTACGTGACCTTTGTAAGTATTGTTTCCTCTGTCAGAAAGCATACCCAGTAAATCTGCCCAATTTACACCTGCTTTTTCTTCACCATCTTCAGTTGTGTATTCTGGAAAAACTTAACTTCCTTCTGACTGATAACAGAACCTTCTTTACAGAATTGTTGAAA